TAACCGCTTACGTATTCATGTCGTTAAAATGTGTATTAGCGTGAATGTGTCCCATGAATATTTTACTTTCTTGTGCTCGCGCTAAAAATACAACGAGATTTGGAACGGTGAAACTTTGTTCTAATTACGCGAGCTGTATTTTCTTAAGCTAGTATAATGCATAATATGCATGTAAACGTAGAATATTTCGCGGGATGTTCTCTCAATCGTGGATTTCTACGTTAAAATCAGATGCTATTTTCTTCGCAAGGAGAACCTTGTAGGAAATCGTGATATGTCGATGACATCCGTGTTACGAGATCCGCATACGGCGTGCGGCGATTTTTTCGTTTTCCTTTTTTCGTATCTCCTCTTCGTAAAATGAGTAGAGATCGCGCGAGGTTTAAAGAAGAGATTTTATGTTTTATTATTGTTTAGTGGTTTCTCCAAAACACACGCGGCTCGCGCAGCGCGCCCGTTTATATTCCGCGGCAGTATCGAGCCGCAAGAGAGTACATTGGGAAAATAATCCCGAGTCGCTGGCGCGCAAAAGGCAGCCGCGGGAGAGCAAAGGGTTAAAACGGGAAGAAGCGCGCGCGGAGAAACGCCGGAGGAGACGGGATTCCGAATCGACGCGGACTATGCGTGGCGCGCGAGATCACAGAGACGGAATCCCGACGTAAACAGGCTTAAATTGTAATCTCAGGCTTTCGGTTCTCTCCCAGCGGGATACTTGTTGCTCGTCTACTCTTTGATGTCCGGTCATGCGGCGTTCGAAATCAATATACGCTCATTAACGGGAGCGGCCGCGGTGCCAAAGGGGCCACGCATGCGAATATCGCGGTAACGTAAAACCTTGCGGCAGGTGGCATAGAAGATCGCCGCAATTAAACACCCTTCTTTTTACGGCCGGCCTACGTACCCGCACGCCGAGGCGGCGAGAAGAGAACGTCGTCTCCGTTTCGGAATCGCGTTTTATTACTTTCCGTCGCGGCCGACAAGCAGAATGAAACGGCTGTCCATCACGGATCGTGAGTAAATTATCACGCGATACCGCTGATAATTTATTCGAAATAATGCGCGGAATAACCGCTCAATGCCACGTATCTTTTTTCTGGCTTCGCTAAAGGGCAGAAAAAGGTAATATGGCGGTAATGCAATAACAGTGCGATCAGATAACGCTGCGCTGTCGGCATGTAAACTTGCTACAGAGCTTTCTATATCTGAAAAATATATACATGCACCGTATGACACGAAACAGCTCCCCCGGTATTGTTGACTGCAATATTGTTCCGCGTAACAAATGGTTATTTTGCGCAAATACAACACACAATTTGTTAATGATAAAAATTGATTGATGACTAAAGCTTGTTGATTTAATAACAGCACGCCAGATTTATGTTGACGCTTGGACGATGTTGTCATGAAAGCATATTGCAGCCAGGAAATAACCATATTTTACGATGCATTCGTTTACTCTGACTTTATCTGAAATTACCGAAGCCAGTTAAAGCGATGTGTTTAACACATTCACTATCACGGTTTATTTAAAGAGCTTTCTGCACAATCCACTTCATATTTTTCTTTTTTTTTTTTTATATAATTGTGTAAAACAGACTTGTTTTGATAATGTAATATAGAAAAACAAACTTTTGTCGTTACACATATGTGTGACACTGATAGCTAATATGTTAATTGTGTTCCTAATACATGAATATGTGCACGATGCGTTACAATAACGTATTAGTATTTCGAAAAGTATTTCGAAAATTTATTTTTTAATCATTTTCTGCGCGTGTCAAGCTCTTAAAAGCGAAATCTGATCACGGGTTGACCGAGCACAGAAGATTGAGAGAAACCCGAAAAATCAATCTTCATAGGAACAAATACATAGTAAAATTTTATTCTTCAATTAATTTCGAGTTGATCTTACGCTAACAGAATACCGCGATTTCATTTCCATAACAATTTGTTTTAAAAATCCACAAGGGTTGCTACGAAAAGTAATTCTCGTCGTTAAATTGACGTTAAAAAATATATCTGTTTTATCATGGTTACAAACATTCTCTCGGACATTAAAAAGATAAAAAAAGAAAAGCAAATGGTTGGAGATGAAACAGGGCGTTATGTAATTATAAAATAGGTCAATTGGAAATATCCTGAACATTTCACAAACGCGTTGAATTTATATTAAACATTTTACAAGCAACTTAATTTGCTGGTTCAAAGCCAGAAAAACGACTTCTACCGAAATAATTATTTAATAAAAATATATATATTATCAATAATTAATAATTATTAATTTTATTAATTATATTAATAATTATTGAACAAAAATATTTACGATAAATAAAATATTCGATGCATTACGTGGACATAAGAAACAAGTGAACGCGGTCGTCAAAGTATTTATGAACTTTAACATGTGTGAAACTACATGAAAAGTGCGCGCTCATAATCCTAACAATTGGAAAAAATAATTAGTTTTATTTTACATTTGTAACAACTGCTGTATGTTCTTCTTCCATTAATAGTTCGCGCGCGACAAGGAAATATGTTTTGTTGTGCACCCTCTCGAAATCGCAATTCCGCCTGGATCTCTGCATCCAGGTCATAGCGGCCGCGGTTTGGAAAAATGTTGTTGCGTATATATGAAACACAGCTAAAAACTTGGGGTTTACATAAGGCGACACGACGGAGCGCATTCTACGTTGGAATCTCGTGCTGGAGGTCGCAGAAATCGTTTCGTCGTTTCGGATATTAAAATCTCGCTCGGGAGGTTCACCATTGATATTAAGGTAAATGTTCCAGTAACTGAACATTATTCTACAATGATTGAAACATCAATATTATATTTATATTTAACATGCTCACTACTAACGCTATACAGATATGATGCACCGATCTCTCAAGTTTATCTTTACTCAAAATCTTCAAATTTAAAAGACACCTTTCTATTGCAATTTATAGCATTATTTAATGAGTTTATATTATTCAGTAACTAGAACACGACTCATTTTTCGGCTTAACTGCTGGTGCACAACCGGCATCATCTAATATATACATTTCATTAAAATTGTATAAATAATATTTTTTGATTAATTTTAAACTGTGATCATGCTTTCTTGTTATTTCAATCAGTGGGACGTTTATCTTACGCGCGAGCAAATGATCTCCCTTTTTTGACTCTTTTTTTTCTCTCGAACAATCGCATCCCCTTAACAGGGGATGCGCATGCCGCACGGCTGTCGGCGACAGAGAGGCCGATAAATTTGCGGGGGAGAATCGCGTGTGATTCGCGCGCGGGCTCGCGGTTTATCCGGCGCGGCTAGTTACCGCAGTGATTTATCGCGTGCGGCACGATCGCGTGCATCGTCGCACGAATTGTATGTGCCAAATCAAGCGCATCGTAGTCGGCCGCCCAGGAAGTCGCCTCGCTAACGTCGTGCTTGTGCTCGAAGCAGCCCACAACTAACGAGATTCAATCAACGCCGTAATTAACGTTACTTGCGTCGGTATTGATACCACGTGCCATACGGTCACGCAGCAGCGGAGACTAAGTCCCACTCGATTTTTCGTCGAAACTGCATTCCGCGTTTTAGTCGCGACGGCATCTCGAATTCCGTTTGCCCGATACGAATACTCGTCGTGATAACTGTGTCACGCATCGCGTGACCGTCGCGAGTCGAAATCATATGATCGTGTCGAGCAACTGTGATTGCGCGTGAATGTCGAACTTCCACTTACCTATTCCATTTTACATTTTCCCATCGCGACGAAATCGACGACGGGCGAGCCCGGCGCGATCGTCGACACGTAAGAATCGTCAATGTCAGACGTGAGACTTTTCCGCACTGCCGCGACAAAGGTCGCGCCCTTACAGTACCTTTGACGCGCGCAAGAGGGAATCGAAAATATCAAAGCGCGCGCAAAACGCGACGACGGCAAATCGCGAGGGTAAAAGCGTGCGGAAGAGCACCAAGGTAAAGGAGGGTTCCGAGGAGTTTGGGCCCGCGCGGAGGTCAAATAACCCTGGGGAACCGGCGGCCGGGGGTTTCAAAGGCTTTCGTTAAATCGTACTTAAAAGTTAAAGGCTAAAGGCCACGGGTACACGCAAGGGGGCCTGCTTGCCGGCGACGGTGTCAGAAAGAGGGGGGAAACCGTGAAGGGACGGCGGGGGGTGAGAAACGCGCGACGGGGGCCGTGAAAGCAGAACCTCCAGATGATCAAAGAGCGTTAAAAGAGGATTGGGTTGCCTCGGTGCTACTCGTCTTACGATGCATCCGTGTGCGCACGTCGCTTTGTGTGCGTACGTGCGTGCATGCGTGTATGTGTCGTGAAGGAATTAACGCAAAGGACATTCGCCCCTGTTGACGATGCATTAACGCATTTTCTCTTTACACGCGCCACGCATGCGAGGCCTTCTGATGTATTTTGGATTATTTATCACTCTGGACGCGCACGTCCCCCGCATTATGGTGATCTATTTTTATTTGTTTTTATTTATATCCTTCTTTATTGTGGCTATTTTTACGTGAAGTTGCGTCAGTCGAGAGACGCTTTTCTTACTCAGCTATTTAAAATTTCGAGTCTTCCCTAATTGCTAATTGTTTCGCTATTCTGAATACAAGTCTTGTATAATTATTTTCGTATTAATGAGTAATGTCGCATTCTCAAAGTGACCGAATAAATTTAATATTTTCTACATATCAAACGTGTAACACAAACACAAGTTAATAAGATGTATTTAAATTACATATAGATTTTTTTGGATGAAATTAGTAAAATCAGAGTACACTGTACATTAAATAAACATATATATGAATGAGTTTAGAAGTTTAAAAATGAAAATAATGGTAAGAGATTTACGAAGATAAGTAAGGAGAGAAGGACACAATCAAGTGTGGTAACTACTTGAATAATTTAATAAGAGAGTCTCGCATGTTTTACTCGAAAGAATCGTTCAAAATTCAGACAGAAGCGTAAGACATGCCGCATGCGCGAGATCAACTTCGACTCACCTGCAATCCCGTCCTCATCTTGAAACCTAGTCGAATGTCAATAGCGCAGTCGCTGTTTCTAACGGCGAATCTTCGTGTCTTTCTATTCACACCGCGCAACCACCGTAGTTCATGTCGGCCACCTTTAAACTACGCGCGTGTACCGGCGTGCTCTCTCACGCGGACCATCCTCATCGAGTCACAGCACTACGTTCCTCTTACGTTGATCCATTCATACTGTCGTATGTGCTCGCGCCGATGAAGATTGTGTGTACAGCCGCGCGTCAGCCTTCTGCGTTCAGTACGACAACGAGTTCAGATAGTCGAAAGAGGGTATCTCGCGTTCGAGAGTCAGTCACGTGGTGCGGCACGCACCTCAGCGCACTTGAGAGAAGCGCTTTCTCTCCCTCAGCGTCCCGCTTGACGGTTCGGAGCGCACTGCCGTCACTTTCTGCTTCGGCCGCTTCCTTTTCTTCTCTCCTTCTTCGCGCTCCTTCCGTCGATGCAGCACCCTTCTTCTTTCGAGGCACGAGGGGCCGGGTACGCGCACGTGCCGGGCACGATCGACGAACTAACAGCGACTGACACCTCCTCTTCTTCTCGCCCCGATCCTACCTCTTCCTCCTCTTCCTCTTCTTCCGCAGCGACCCACTGCTTGCTTCAAACTTTGAAGCGTTACTTCGAACTCGCGAGTCCTCGCGAGCTTGTGCGTCACGAGGATCTCGGACTTTCGGTTCTTCCGTAGATTGTACAAGTAAAGTTCTCGCGATACAATTGTTCTCTTGTCGTCGACAGAATTTAATTGCGGATGACTCGGTTAGACGAGATCTGCAAAGAGATCGCCCCGCGCGCTTGATCTTCTAGTATGAAGGGTTTGTTCCTATGATCTTCTGCCACGGGCTGTTGAATGCTCCTTGCACCATCGGAGTCGGGGACCGACTGACAATCGGGCCAGCTCAAACCGCGCGAAGTAAGCAGCAAGAGCATACCGGCGAGAGAGGAAGGGGAGGACGAGAAAGAGAGAGAGAGCGAGAGAAGAGCGAGAGAAGGGGGAGAGAGAGACAGAGAGCGACGAAGAGTCTGAAGGGTGGTGGAGGAGCATGCTTCTCACCATCATGTGGAGGGTTGTTTTGACTGCTAGGTCGCACGATGATCACGGATGTTGCAGTATCGATTTTGTCAGGCTGCGTTTCTGTTCTGCGTTCATTAATTGAAATGATCTACAGAAAAGAACAACAATGACTCAACATTGTTCGAAGTCTAGTTCATCTGCTGATTTATGGTCTAGTTGACCTTCGGGAAAAATGTACACGACACAAAGTGTCTCTTGAGTTCGGAGACAACCACGAAGAGATTAATTTAAATAACTGCTGCAATTTTGGATAAACACATCGTAGCATTTTTCTAGAAGCGTCTTATTAACCGCGTCTTATTAAGGAGACTGTTAAATCCGTCTCAATTGTTCCTTGTTTTACGGGAATGCATAATGCCGGCACGTAGCGTGGCGTAGCGCCAGCTTTTTCGTGGTCAGTAAGGAAGCGATAAATGCGCTGCGGCTGAGTTTACACGACGCGGTTTATTGTCTCTGGATATGTTAATGGGACGTAATTACGTTTCAATATTTGTTTTTCCATTGATGACCGACAATTGTGATCGAAATGATTGCGGCCGATAATAAGTCTGGCGGCATTGTCATGTCTCATTTTGCGCGCATACAATTTGCACGGGGTCTTGAATTAATTTGTTATTCATTCATCGCGACCAGAAGTCACCCGCGATATTGTTGACGCAGCGTTCAACAGCGTTCGCATAAATTTGCGCGCGATATTACATAGCAACGAGGGATTTCGGGTCGTCGAACTGTTGCTCTGTCGGAGCCACTTTTTCATGTAATTGCGGTTTAAACGTTTTTATGGTTTATTTTATCGTGCATCGAACACTGACATTCAATTAACAAATGGCGCGCTCGGCCATTGAATATAACCCATGCATATTCGCCGATTTTTTCATCCGCTTCCTCTCGCTAATTGAAGCTTGAATTTGCAATTCCACTCGACGATACAAATGTCACAATTCGCAACATCGAAGAGACATCAGAGAAATGACGCATTCGATTCCTGCGTTTTCAGGAAACGAGAAACATCGAGTTATTTCTTTTTTTCTCAAAAACATATTTTACTTCAGTCAAGGAAGGATTAATGATATTGTGGCGATTTAATTGCTCTAAAAAAAAGACGAACGGCAATTCTTAGGCGCGCGAGTAAAATGCAGCGATCCGCTATTTATCGAGCGCCGAGCGATGAATATTGCATTCATTAAGACACGCAATACCATGTCTCTAATTCATGGAAAAGGCATCCGAACATAGCGTGAATGTTAACTGAGTAGAAAATCGCGCGGAGTGACAGCAGTCCCGAGAGAATTTCAAATCCGTCAAAGGATCGTTTTCGGATCCCTCAAGGCGGGCGACCGCCGTCTCGCTCCGTGCGCGCGCACACTCAGCTCTTCAATTACGTTTCTATCTCGCCGCAATTAATTCCCGACGCGCGCGTCCCGGCAATTAGCAGTCTAATTCGCGCGCAATTCGCCGTGCGCGCGCGCCAACTTGGCGGCGCAACCGCTTTTCGAGCGGAGCGCTACGGGCGGCCGCAAATAGCCGCAGCGGCGCACCATAACTCTGTCATCGCGCGGCCGTTGTTTGTCCCGGGCGTCGTCGACGAAAGATCAAAGCACGGGAGACCTCGAGGTCGCCGACAAAGGCGCGGACTGGCTACGGGAGCAGGTGCGCTTTTCGTGAACAGTACCTGCGATTCTTCTTTGCTGTGCCGCAATCGATGGCGGACACTCCGGTCAAAGATCGAGCGACAATGTCGATCCAGCACGAGAGACCGTGACATGGCAGCGCGTCCTTGCCGATTGACTTCTCGCAAACGGTCGCGCGTTAATCCTCAGGGTGGGTGGAAGCGGCGACCTTGGTCGAGGTCGCGGCTCGTTCGCGGAGCTAATTGCGCGCGGGAATCTTACGAGAAGTAATGAGGCGGCTCCCTCGATCGTCGGTTATTTAGCGATGGACAGGAGGGGGCAATTTACAAGCTGCGTTATTAGAAAGCGGTAGGGTCCGTACAAAGGGATATCCCTGCAGAGTCGCGGATCACGAAGCTAGCGATGCTTGACGCGCACACTTTGTCCGCGTCTAATCGCTCGACAATCAGTATTCCACTCTTGCGTTACTTTCTTCTTGTTTTTTTATTTATCACGTTTTTTTTTTCTTTTAAGAAGCGAAGAACAAAAATCGTTCCGAGGCGCTTGGAACTCGCCGAGTATCGTATCGCGCGCGCGTGTCCTCGATCTTAATTTGACCATTCGAAATTGAGAGCAGCTCGACGATAATACAGAATATTAAGAGCGCTCCGTGTGACCGCGAGGCGTGTCCCATTCAACGCTCAGTTATCACTGCGTCGTTAACATCCGCGCAAAAAGGGCTCGTGTGTACCTTGACCGGGCGTCGCTACGTTAATGACATGTGTAACGAGATAACGTAGGTAGGGTACATAATATGTCCGCTATAAAAGCAGGTAGCCTATCGCGACGGGGCGCTCGGCGGGTAGTGTACTTATTGTTAGATACTTACGAGCGAGCGATGGCAGAGGTGGAGAGGCAGAAGAGGAGACTCAGACGGAGGTGGAGGAGGAGGAGGAGGAGCGTGAAAAAGTCCACGCTCGAAAAACGGGTTTGCGGTGCCGCGGGTGCTGTCGGGTGCGTTGTAGTTTATCGTCGGAATCGTGTAGCACGTTACGGTACACCGCGATCATTAGCAGCTAGAAGCCGCCTGCTGCCGGCGGGAAGGCTGCACGATACTCTCTTTGATATCCGCTCGCCGTACCGACGTACGTGCCCTTAACGTTACGGCCGATTCACGGAACCTCCGCGTGTACCGCAGGTCCGTAGCTATCCGGCGAGATAGAGAGAGAGAGAGAGAGAGAGAGAGAGAGAGAGAGGGGAGATGAGGAGAGAGTAGAATACAGTAGAAATTTATTATATTCTAGCAATAATCTCTTATACGTGTACGTTAAACTGGGGAGGTACAATGGTCTTGCGGTAATAAAGGTAAACACGATAAAATAACAATTTGTTTTGCACCCCCAGTGTAGAACACAGTCAGGTATATTAACTCAGCTGAAATAAAATTAAGGGAATGAGGAGCGGTGTAATACACGTAACATGAGTAGAAAAAGAGAGAGAGAATGCGCGGTAAAATAGTGCATGTTAATTAGAAAAATAATGCAATGGAACAGGAATTGCTTTCTTCGCGTTTCTCTTCTACGAGTTCTAGCTTGAGTTCCTACGAGACGTGCTGAAAGATAGGAACAGTAATTGCGCGAGATTGATCGAAAGAAAATAGCGATTTAAACGAAGGAGTCAGAGAGTTACAATGCGAATTTTCAAGTAAACTCGAGACGAAAAGCTGTGAAGGAGAAATAGAATGCAAACCCATCTCACAGCTTCAATGGTATAGCTGACGATGGTTCATAGATGCGATTAGCAACATCTCTCCCTCTCTTTCTCTCTCTAGCAAGAAACCTTATTAAAAAGATATTAATATCTCATAAGAGCACACGCGCGTGTTGATGGTAGCGAATTTGTAAGAGAATAATTATGAGAGACTATCCAACTCGCTTCACCTGCTCCGTTCCTTCCAGCTTGAAAGATGCGAATGTACAAGCTTTCAGATGATTACACGTCGGTTTCCCCGCATATTTCCTTCACTTCGTGAACTTTTTTACATCGCCATACCTTAATTAATCTTTGGTCTGCCTCAATGTAGGTAGAACTATTAAATCCCGTTGGTGGGACGCGAAGCGTTTAGAAGCAGACTTGTTACGCGGACTCTTTCAAACTACATCGGGTGACTGTTTTATTTTTGGGCTCTCTCTCTTTCTCTCTTTCTTTCAAATTTATAGCATTCAATTTTGCAGGACTCCGTCCACAGAACGCTCGAGGGCATACAGTCCTAAACGGGTCAGACAAATGATTCTTCTTCTTCCCTTCCCTCCGGTGTACCTTCGCGTTTCGGCACCTGGCGCCGTACCGTTTCCCACTTACATTAGAATTTAAGTGGAATTTCGACCGCGGCTTAACATGGATTCTCCGGCTGGGCCGAATCTGAATTTCAGTTTTACCCAAATTTGGCTTCCACCCGGCGGTTCGCATTTACGTGTCGCGCATAAATAAATAAATGAATATGTGTAATGACCGATAAGTAAATTTGCGTAAGAGGCTCGCGCGCAACATATCGCGAATGTCGAGCGCGCGAACGTTTCTCTCTTACCTCGTTCTGGCGTATCTCCGAACGCCGAGTGGATTCGAATACGGCGTCCAATAAAGGCGACGATCAAGGCGATCGACGCGACGTTATTAGCGAGGAACGTGTCGCTGTAATATTATCGTATCGAATTAACGATAAGCGAAAGATCAAGAGCCGGCCATCGGGATTCTTTCTGTAAGTCATCGCCGAACCGGTCGATACCAATTTAGGCCGATTCCAACTCGAAACGCCTCGACGACTCCGTGCTTGAGAAGGTGCCGCGGATGTTCTCGTCGAGCTCTCCTACTCACGATCCTGTTTTACACTTACAAACGACAGCTTCGTACGAACTCACCAATATCTACACACACTTACACATTTGGCGATTTCTCGATGAATCGGCCTTGTGAAATCGTAGGTTTTAATACGCACGGACGCATATCTCTAACCTATCTCTAATCATCCGTCAATTCACCGACATGTGTCAGCACGCAGAGAAGCGAAAAAGTAGTTGGACACTGCGGCATGCTTGCATAAGAGATTTAATCCATGGACATAGTATACATGGGCTCTGAATGTTCTGTCGTCTAACAGAGTGAAGCCAACATCTAGAAAGAGAGCTAGAATAGAGGAGCTATAGTTTTCTTCCTATTTTGTCACTTTTTTGTTGCGCGTGCATCCATTTCTCGTTTCCATAATATTATAGGGCGCAACAACACCCCGACTAGACTGGCAAGTAAAAGTACTTACTTAAATTTTATTGCACACTTTACCTATGTAGAAAGAGACAGAGAACACAGAGGGGCTGTACATATTGGCTTCACTTTTCTGGCCGCATGCGGGATCCATGCACGCAAAAAAAGAACTAGCTTCCAGAGCTAAAAAATAGCTGTAGCAGATAAGATGTGTCACTGAAATAGGAACAGCTAATGTCGATACTGCCGAAGCTAAATTTATTCGCTATTAAACTTAGGCGCTACAGCGAGAAATATTAGCTGCTAGAAATAAATAACTGTAACAAATGATTACTGTACGGCAAACTTCTTTAATATATGAATACGATAAGAAATTTAGGAATAATTGTCATTTTCTTAGCTACTTGAAATAATATGCATTTTTAATGTCACCTAATATATTTGTATTTCATAGCGAAACATCTTAACTGTCATAGCCAATTCTTAACAGCGACAGCTAAACGATTAGCCTTTTGACTAAGTTTGAATCAGCTACCGCGCGGTTTAGCTGATATTACTAAATAATTTTTTTACGTGTACTACTTCCATGATTTAATCGATGTGTTATGTCGGGACGGTAAATAAGAAACGCCGCAATTTAAATGCGCGTTGCGCATAGGCGTGTTTCCAAAAAGCGACCGATAGTCGACTTCCATTATTCCGTTAATGGCGCGTACGCGATGTAATTACCAGGTAAACAGTGTTCACTTTGCTGGGATAATAGGTAAAATGAGTTATGACGCTGGTATGCTACCGGACGATAGCTTTGTAATCGTGCTTTTCTATGAAGGACCGTGATTAAACATCACAGTCGCAAAAATGAGATAATATGGGTTTTGTCAAGTCATTCAATGCGAGAGCAAATGATTGCATTACAATAGCACGTGCCGTGCGTTTACAATGTGATTACTTGCACGATGACTATCGCAACATTTTTAACTATGAATGAATCTCCTTTTTTCGTCAAAACGATTTTCCGCGTGAGATCTATCTATTTCGATCATACATCTA